GGGGGGGAAGGGGCAGGAATGGGATGGGACTACCACTTATTAACTGCTAGCCTAGTGCTTAGCCCTTCATGAACAAAGACCATGCGTGTAAGCTAAGGTCACACATATACCTAGGAGAATCTCTGAAGACCAGTAATATTTACTGGAGTGGCATTTAACCTCATGGAACATCTACAGAACAGTTTGGAAGGACAGAAGGAAAATACAAGTATGTATGTCATTACCAAATCATATGACTGTTGACAACAGATTCTCTTAAGAGTGCACCTCTGTTTTATATGTGGCATGTTATCGTAATGTACTGCCTGGCTTTCAACAGGGAGGTTAAATGATTACTATTATTATCATCTCAGCTGCAATATAACTACACATGTACTATGCTCTCCTGTCATTAGGAAGTTGCATAGCTCTGTTCTCATAGGTCTTAAAAAACCAAAAAAAACCCCTAAACCAACAACATACAAATAAAAACCAAAACACAAACTGTCAGACTCGCTCCACCTTTACCTCGTTACTCAGTTATAGAATTCAATACATTTTATAGAGAATAATGCAGTACAAATTGTCCAAATATTATTTTAAATGTTAAAATGCATTAAAACTATTTTTCATTCTGCTTATTTAACTTCTTAATAAAGTTACTGGACTTAAAAAATCATAAAGCTAGAAAAATGAAACTATTATTTTTCCATGAGACTATATTTAAGAATCTTATCAAAAATGCTACCCCAAATATGACAGTAACTATGGAGAAATATGCCTTTAATTTTTTTTTAGCAGAGACTGAGTAAAAAGACCTTCAAGTATTAAGCCAGAAATACTAAATTAAAAAATAAAAACAAACTCATGAATCAAACTTGATATATTGTCAAAAAAGCAGTTACTGCAATCGTCTTGCTTATCCTCTCTCAACCTTCTAAAACAGATTTTAAAAATATGATTCTCAGAGAAAGATCTTTTCTACTAGGAAAGTATTTTTATTTTCTAGCAGGAAATCTTTGTAACAAACAGCATTGATTACTGAGCACAAAGTTCCACTGACGTCTTTAAATACTGAAAGGTCACCCATTAAGGACATGCCCTTTTCAAGTAGGAAGCCACCCTTCTCATCCAAAAAACCGGATACCTCACAGAGATAACAGATGAACTCTAGAACAGGAGATGCAAAAATCCATTCCTAACCAAATGATTTATAGAGCAAACAGAAATGCATAAAGAAAACGGGTATATTTAGCTGTATTGTCCAAGCCTGCAACAAAACCTACTTTGAAATTGCACTTTTTGATTCAAAGGAGATTTTTTTCCCCTAACCCTTTAATTCTTGTTGAAGACTTCTTATTTCTATTTTATTTACAACACAAAAATTACAGCAATTAAACTGTGATACACAAGTTATCCTGTGGCTTCAGAGCTTTAGTGACAGACTTTTTGGATTGCCTCAGCTTGATTAGTCTAAATCCCTAGGACCACTTCAAAAACTGTTCAGAAATATTCTGCCCCAATACTTTTAATACTTTTGCTGATGATAACAGCTACATAAGGGTTTCTCATACAGCTTTGGGAAGAGGAAACTGGAATGCTTCCACAACACACACAGGGTTTGAGTATAGAACAGGAATAGGACTATCCATCCTGAATTAGTGGCCTCTTTGAAGTCTTTCCTGGTAAAACCAGAGACTACAAACTTGCTCTTCTCCTCTTTTCCTACTGAAAATGAAAGCTTGTCCAAGTCATCCAATTCTACTTTGCTATACATGACGAAATAAAATGCAAGACACCACAAAGTCTTATGTTAGAAGATACTAACAACTTGCATCCAAATAACAAAATGAAAGAAGAATATAACTGGGTGGGGAAAAAAGTCTGCTTTCCAACTTCCTGACAGATGAGTTATGGTGAGGTTTGATGATAAGCTAACCTTCTGGAACAGCTAGGTAACATCCACACAGGCAGCATTGCTTCTCCCCCCACTGCTGTTACCCTGCAGCTCAGCGGGTGCTTTTCTGATCTTACGCCAAGTTAGTTCAGAGAGTTAAAAACTGGCAGAGTGCCCCTAAACACGAGGGGAAGAGCAAGACCACATCCTTTGCCATAATCACACCAGAACTGAGCCAGACTGGCAACAACTAATTTGTGCCAACATTTCTACAGTGTCCAATGCCTTCTGCCATGGGGCAATATTTATTTTTAGTAATTAAAATGTTCTATACTGCCAGGATTTGCCGCTAATGGTTAGTTTTCAAGTGGTGTAGAAGAATCAAAACGAAATGGAAAATCATATAAAAAGAAAAGATAAAAAAAGTGTGAGGGAAAGTTATCAGGCAATCTGGGTGGCAAAAGATAACATCTCCCAGTTTATTTTAGCATGCTAAGTTATCGCTTTCCCCACATGGGGTACTGATCAATGACACTCAAAAACTCAGCCAGCAGAAAAACTGACAGGAAAACAATGCCCTGCTCAGAGGTATAATCCAACAGTGGAGTGCCCAAATTACAGTCCCACACACCATAATTATATAGAATCATAGAATGGTTTGGGTTGGAAGAGACCTTAAAGATCATCCAGTTCCAACCCCCCTGCCATGAGCAGGGACACCTTCCACTGGACCTAGTTGCTCAAATATCTGAGATTTCCCATCTGTAAAATGGTAAATTTCCCTTCTTTCCATTAATGTGGTGAGAAACAGTTCATGTTCGCTTTCTCTCCTTGAAGAAACAGACACTTTAATTTTAATTGTTTTTGTTAACAAAAATATATTGTACTTATACTTTTTTAAAAAAAACAGACAGAACAAGGTAAGGTTGCAGGCCAAAGTGCTGTTTGGCTACAGCTGTGCCAGGTGAAAACAGCAACAAGCAACACTCCTCCCTGTCCTGTGCTCAGAGACAACAGCTCCTCCCCATCTCTCAGCACAACTTCTCCTGTAATTATTCCCTAATGTAGTTCTTGTCAAAGTGACCTGGTTTAGATATTAAGAATACCTGAGCTAATATAGGCATCCTGAAAGAACTGCTTTGGAGAGCAGCCAGATGTGCAGTATTTTCTAACACATCTAAGAGGACTGCAACTTTCAGCAGAGGACAACAAACACCTATGGGCAGGACAGGTACAGCAACCTCTTCGTTCTGCTGCACTCAGAAAAAGGACATGTAATCTTGATCTGTGATGAAAGATCTTTGGTTCAGGTCAATAAAACTAAGCATGAAATTCAAAATGATGTTCTCAAGTCTAAAGCATTGTAATTTGGGAACATTTGTAAATTCTATACAAGGCATACTCTGTGTGTGCATGTGTATATCTAGATATGTTTTTTACATATATATATATATATATATATATATATAAAGATCATACTTTAACTGAAGATTTGAAGAGATTACAGCTGTTGGGAGGGGGACTCACAACAAAAACCAGAATGAGTAACATAAACATATAAGCAGGCACGTAAATATTCAACAAGCACTGCCTTGTCTATCATAAATCCATTTGCCATTCCCTTCATGTTCCTCTTTGTCCTCAACGTTCATGTCAGGCTAAATTAATTTAAAGTTAACAAAATAGAATCTATTTGACTTCATACTCAATCTGTTGTCTGTAAAACATAGGAGAAGGCCTTGTTCCGTTAGCTGAAGGCTGAGTTTACATTAGTGTTTTGGTTCAGAGCAATAGTGCAATTTAGAAGCAAATCCTTCTCCTCTTCACGCTGCTCCTGCTTACTGCACAATGGTTTTGTTCACAGACCAGTTTTTGTATATGTGACATGGATTCTTTATGGACAGATATCATCTAGAAATGGAAATGTATGAAGGCAATGGTGTTACCTGTCATGCTTCAACCCCTATTATGGGGGCACACAGGTCCAAGCAAATAACAGCTCTGAACAGTCTCAACACTCGTCGTGGCACAGATATTTGATCCTGAGAGGCTCCACTAAATCTACTGCAAAATAAAAATGCAGCACAGCAGAATATGTAGAGCTGAGGGTCACAGCACCAACTGCTTCACTCTACTTATTTTCTCCAATACAGCTGAATTACTACTGTAGACATTCCTCAATTCAGAGACTGAAGCCAGAACAAATGCAAGTCTTGCACACAGGTACGTGCTACATGTGAACAGTCACCCTTGGTTAAATTGGAAACTGTTCCATGTATGTCTGACACCTAAATGATCATCCATAAGCAATCAGCAATGTTTATGCACGACTATATCCTCTATTTATTAAAATCTTGCAGAAGTCAATGATAAGCAGTATTCAAATACTTGTTACTATAAATAAAATAAACTCTACATTGAAAAAATGCAACTGATACATAGCAGCACACAACACATGAAAGCAGTTAAGTGCCAAGTTTTGCCTAAAGTAAAAGGTGAAAGTAGTTTTGGGAAGACAGTTATTCAAAAATACATTTGATGAGGATGTCAAAATACACCCGAAGGTCTGTAAAATGTGCACTAAAATCCTCTGTGTACTATTTCATTAGAAAATACATAATTTCCAATAGTATGACTCAACATCAGTTCAGAGCATTGCTTACTGCAGTTAGCACCAGCAGGTAAATTTTAAAACCAGCTTAACACACATACATTCAGAACACTAAAACAATAGTATTATATATGGTCTAAGTTCAAATAACATCATTAAAAAATTACACTAGGATACCATATAAATCCTAGAGTTTATCTTCGCTGCAGCTCCATGTTACTCCACTGGCATTAGCCTGGGAGTGAACATAACCCTGCTGCCACATGCCCCCGGAGCTGAATGATTTGATTAGCAGGACAGAGTGATTGGATTAACAGTAGATGAACGGCTGTAAACCAAGCTGCTGCATCTTACGGCAGGACTGGCCAGGGTGTCTATACGGTACAGGACTCTCTGGCTACAAGGACATATATATCGTTCTGGAAGCCAGAGCTGTACAACATAAGCACAGCTTAATCAGATGTGGGCAGATTATTGCCTTTCTGTCAAATTAGCTGTAGCAGATGATACAGCTTTCCTGTTACTTTTGTGTCAGTTGTGAGATGAGAGGTGATACCTGATCTGGCCCAACGCCGGCCGATACAGAGATCACTCACTTGACTGTCTTCTGGCAATCGGGACCAGCAGGATGAGTTAGTGCAGGATCATCACTTTACAACCCACAGCTACTCCCAACCTCCTTTTGAGGAAGCAGGGTGTGCAGTGAAGCTGGAACACATTCACATCTATGAACAGGAGTCACATAAAGGGCTAATGCACTTCTGGTGGTCCTTCATCCTAGCAGTGCAATAAAGAGAACTGCATATCTCAATCCTCCTTCCAAAAATTAAATAACTGTGCTAAAACAAATATTAAGATTTCTCTTTTTCTCAAGCTTTATTTCAATCAAAGACTGTCCATTCTTTTAGGATTCCTGGACACAAGTCATGCAAGAGCTAACTTTGTGGATATCCACAACATTCAATTAATACTCTGGCCTGCAGGTCATAATTAAAGTTTTAATCCACCCTCTGTATAAATTTCTAATTAAGTTGCCTATAAAAATACAACTGTCTCAGTCAAGCTTGTAATTTATCATTAACTTTATGACTTATATCCTTCCATAGTCTTAACAAAGACAATAGACAAAATAATTTAATTACCACATTCTCATCAACACCAATGTTTCCAGGGAATCACAGCTGTGGCATGTGCCATGCCTGGCTGCACAGCCACCTCCTGAAAAAGCACTTTAGAAAGTTTTATGCCCTGTACTTAAACTGAGCATCACTGTACCTGCAGCTCCTTTATGATCTATTGAAAAATATAGTTTGCAATCAGAAAAAAAGATCTGAGGAAGCCTTTCCCATAGAGAACACCAGGGAAACTGGTGGGGAAGGAGAGTCTGTGACAGTCACTTTGCCTTAGACAATTAACCTACTGGAGAAACAGTTTGCCTGAGATTTGCTTCCTCACAAGTCACCACTGATAATTGATGCTAAAATGCCAGCATCATAGATCCTTTCAGATACAATTTACATAGAAATAACCACCACAAGTTGTGGTGCAAGTTACAGCCTACAATAGAATTTAACAGCTACCTTATCCTAACTATAGTTATCTAGCTATTGCAAAAATGATCAGAAAATCTTACTCTCATCAACTCAGTTTTCATAACAGTTCTAATCTTTCAGAGACATGGGTTATAAATATTCTATTTTGCACAAAAGCAGAATGAAGATACATGAAAAATTATTCATATGTGTACAAACGGTGAATATAAAAAAGCACCTGCAACAATGTATTCTTACCAAACATGCACTGCTTTCCTCCTCTTGAAATAAGAATGAGTAGCATCAAATAGATTTATCTTCTTAAATGGAAGTGGCCCTAATCAGAAGAAACTATTAAAAACTACTAGCATCTGATTTAAGATACGCATTCTGGACAAAGCTATTATGTACTTATTACTGTCTTATTTTCATAAATTATCAAAACGTTTCTCATCACTAGTTACTAGATCTCAGCATCACCCACCCACAGAACTCCAAAAGAAATTCTTCACATCTTCAATTCATTTGTAAAAGCTACAGCCCAGGAAGCAAATCCTGGATTTTTTTTCCCCAGAGGTAAATACTCCATCTGCACTTGTAAATTCTGTTGCTGGTATCTATCCATAGCAATCATGAAAGGTGCAAGTCCCAAACTTGGTACAACCAACACTATCCCAAAGAAAAATATAGAAAATTGAAATGTGTATTTCTTATTGGTAACTCTGGCAGCAGGAAAGACAAAACTCTCACCCAAAGATGATCATGTTTTGGGATGTGATAATGTGCAAAAATGTAGTAATAAATTAAAGCTACTTCACTGTAAGAGCCGCAATAGCTTTACCACTATTTACTTAAATTGTAATGTCAACAGAAATATTGTCTCTTTATCCTTCAGCTAAATAATACAGAGTAGCAGATGAAGAATTTGTCAACGTGAAGCATCAAGACTATAGACTTTTCCTTTCAAAGCAGGAGAAACTGAACCTTCAACACTGTTCAATTACAAAGACTCTATAAAGGCAAGTGACTGGTAAAGATTCAAAATATTCTATGTAAAAAGAGTGTCTAAGGAGATAGCAGGTCACAGCAAAACCACACTCCAAATATGTTAGAGAACACTTTGTCACGGCTAAGCAAACTTCAGAAATGGGAACTGTGAAAAGAAAGAAGAGCAAGAAAAAAAAAAAAAAAATCCCAGGACAGTTGAAGAGGGAACTTGGTATGGTGTACTTAATTTATCAAATTCAACTTAGTGCTGCAACAACACATTTATCTGCCAAAACCAAACGAGGCTTTTCAGCAGCCTACTGCTTGTAGAAGGGACAGTGACATGAGCCTGCTTCTGTAGGTCACTTGACCGAACCTCAGTAAGAAGGAACAGAAGCAACTAGACCTTATATAAGCTCTTAGAAGCTAATTCACAGCATTCTCTTCATTCCTTTTCTCTTAGAGGTCCTGAGATGCTTGTCCTAAATACAGAGAGTAGTGACAGCTTTCTTGGGAATCACTGCCTCCGAGAAGGCACAATACACACCCATGGCCTCCTATCAGGCTCCTCTCACGCTTGCATCAAAATTTTATTTCAGTAAGACATAATTCAAGCTTCTGGATACAAGCCCATGACTGCACTTTTGTTTTCCAATACAGAAAAACACACTAAAAAATTCCAGATCATAGTTAAGAACAACATTATTTACTGGCTCTTTGGGTATTCCTTACCTCAATTCCAACAGGTCCTAGAAGAAGGCACTGTATGAGCATGGGTCCCCAGTTGCTTTGCCTGCAATATGCTTTCTCTCAATACTTGATCTAATCCCAACTAGAAAATCTAGTGATATGGAAATTTCCCCTAATTAATCAACCTCAGTGCTGCACAGCTGCCTCTTAGTTCTGACATTCTGTTTCTCTGTGGGACTTATTAGTAGATGAACAATCTTTCCAGTTGGAAAAAGGCATTTCTCTGTTTTAGATCTCAAGTCCCTCCATCTCTCCAGATTTCAGTCTGAACCTAAATTCTTGTTTCTTATTGAATACCACTGCAGCTTCCACAACCTCTCTCCCCCATTTCTTTTGTAAGTGGGCTGTGGGTTACAAATAAAGCTGTGGGATCACTGGTAACTCTGCTTGGCAAAGATTCTTCCAGCTTGCAAAGTTTTAAAGTTTTATGAAGTTCTTCCAGTGTGTACCCTCCTAACAAAAACAAACAAACAAACAAATAAATCAGAGTACATACAAATAACTTTGTGATCTCTGTCACCTAATTAACTTTTTACGAGGCCTGCCCATGACACATTAGCACTACAGGTTTTGCAATAAGGTTTGTGTTCAAGTGACTTGCTTATTTCACCACTATTTGTGACTTTAAGGGGTTGTTAAACCTCATCCTTTCATCCTTCAAACATGCCAATCAGAAACAAAGCTGGCCTACATTGTATCACTGTTTTTAACATATATACCTGCTGCTGGCACAATTTGTATGAAAATGTATTTCCAATAATTACAATTTTCCCAAAATGTATCTATTCCTTTGGGCATGATACATACTTTTTATCATCAAATCATTAGTCATTCAACTTAACACATTTAATTGATATTACAAGTCCTGAATCAAAGGGACTGATGCCTATAAGATTTTCTTCTATTGACTTTTGAAAATATGCAATGTCTTAACCATAGAATGGTTTTGGTCGGAAAAGACCTTTACTTGAAAAGCTCCGTTATTTATTGATCCTATCCACTATCAGTTCATATGTTCATACTAAAAGTAACAGACACTAGCTATTAAACTGATTACCCTGATGTTGGTTGATAAAACATGTCCCATCTCAAATCCCTCATGCTCTGGCAATGGCAGCAAACAGCATGGGAAGCTAAGTTTATAGGCTTGGAAAACTGCAGCTTCATTAACACCAGCTTGTGCTGAGATAATTAAACTAATTTTTGAACAATTCAGATTCTTTTTTAAAAAGCAGGGTAGCAGGAACGTCTCTATTACATGGTTAACAAGAATTTCTGAAGTAATATAGATATGAAAAGCTTCTTCAGAAGAATCTTCTATTTGGTATCCTCTGGAATGAAGTAAGATAAAGAAAAATACACACAGCTCTGAATCAGGTAATAAAATAAAAAAGGTTATTTGCTACTCAGAACAATTCTTCTTGCTGATTATTTTTGTCCAGAAAACATTGTCTCAAAATTGGCTGTAGCACGAAGTAGCCATTGCTCTCTTGATAAAACACTTAAAAACTGTGCCCTTTAAGGTCGCAATGCAGATATTAAAGAAACCCAATCTATTTGTTCTGCCGATTTTGTCAATGCTCTTTTAAGTCTGTGGAAAGCCAGAGCTTCACCCTAAAAAGAACCATGGCTGAAATCTTCATGTAGGCAGAAGCGGCATGGCACTACAACTTGTAAAAGTCCATCCTCAGGAACAAAGGAACCAAGAATTACCTTCTACAAGCACAAATTTCACAGAATCACAGAATGTTGGGGATTGGAAGGGACCTCAAAAGATCATCTAGTCCAGCCCCCTGCCAGAGCAGGATCTCCTGCAGTAGGTCACACAGGAAAGCGTCCAGGCGGGTTTTGAATGTCTCCAGAGAAGGAGACTCCACAACCTCCCTGGGCAGCCTGTTCCAGTGCTCTGTCACCCTCACTGTAAAGAAGTTTTTCCTTAAGTTCATATGGAACTTCTGGTGTTCCAATTTTTGCTGATTGCCCCTTGTCCTACCATTGGGCATCAC